CGTGAGTCCTATAATTTCTTGGTAGACCTCAGAGCTTTCCCTCATGTCCCAAATTTTTTTCGAAGAGCTTAGAACTCTCGCAGGGGCCCTATGACAATTTCCTTAAACATTTTCTTGATTTGTACAATTTTGCACAGGCCCCAAAACTTTTCTCTAGGTTCTGTAATCTTTATGATCTTCGTGTGCCTTTGAGTACAAAAAATTGAACAATATTTAGCAACAGATGTCAACAATGAAATAACTACGGTAGTCATAATCGTTTGCCGAAGTTCATAGGTCCTTGAATATTCTTGCACGCAGTTATTTCTCCCGGAAATGCCAATTTTCGGGTTGCTGTGAATTTGCCTGTGATAGTACTACGCCTATGTAGTATATTGCTACGTCGATGCTAAGGGTTGACTGGGAGTCGGTCAAGCGTGTGATGCGACACGCGACGCGAATTCCCGGAAGATAATACAAAATAGTCTGTTTGCCTTCGAATCGTGGCATGTGGCCTTCGAATTGCCTTCGAGTCGTGGCAAAAAATTAGAGATAAAAAGAAAAGTTAAGTCATCGCTTTTATTCTAGCATTGTTATGTGTTCAAATTAATGTACACTGGCATGCTGGCCGTATTTTTTGCCAACTGCCCCGAATTTCCATAAAAATCTGCCCGTTTTAATTCCGATCTCCAAACATTTCTAGGAGAAAGAGAGTATTGTAATCTATACTGAATATCATGCGATGATCATAGTGTTTCAGCTCGTTAGATCGGTTTTGATCTCAGCTATTACGTCGTGGCGATAAAAAAAAGTATGCACCGCTACTTAAGCAAACATCGATAACCTTCGAATGTTAAGAAGTATAACGCCGACAAATTTGCTCACAGAAATAATAATCTCCCAGCGAAAGAAACAATTTCCTTCTTCAACATCCTCTTCCACAATCAACGATAAAAGAAATATTTGGGGTCATCCAATAGCCTCGTTCACCCTTGTGATGAAACGGTTTGTCTTCCGATTATCAATAACCCTACCAACCCGCCGTACCAATTAAAAATAAGGAGCGCGAGCGGAGGAAATACGAGAGCCCCGTTAATCGGAAAAATGAAATTATCCGTCCACCGAGGCGTGTTCATTTTTAACGCCTATAGACTAATTAAAGGGTGGTTCGGTAGAAATTCGCCGGAGCGAACTAAGCTCTCGGCCCCGGGATCGTCGTCTTTGCCTTCTATATTGGCTCGTAAGCGCGCCTCTTATAAAGCGGAGCAATTATCCGGGTAAAATACTCTCCGAAATTTCCGTGATAAATTTCCGACCGTAATAAGGGTGAGTCGCAAGTCATTTGGCCAGGCTCGAAGGCAGGGTGGGTATCGGTAGCTTCAATAGAAATTCTTTCCAACCCATCCGCTCTCTCTCCCTTCCTCCCCCCTCTCTCTCTCTCTCTCGCTCCTTCTTTCTCTCCGCCACCGACCCTCCCACTCTAATTCGTCGTTTCGCCTGCCGTTTAATTTAAACATTTGTCGCCAATCTCATTCAATGCTGCGAGTCTGGCGGTGAGAAGCTTCTTCCAGTCGAAAGCTAATAATTACCGGCTCTGAATGTAGTGCGAACAGGGTGGAATGGGGTTACGGGTGTTCCGGGCGTTAGGGATGCTTTTCTTCCTTTGTCGCCTGCGTGCGCTGCTCCTCGAAACTTCGAGTGCGAATAAAACGCGTACCACAGTCAGTTAGGCTTGTTAAATCGAAAATTCGCTGATCAGCTTTTTTCATTTTGACGTGCTTCTGCATTTGGTTTTATTAGATTACTATGTAACACTGTTTTTACCGATATTTTGAATTATGCAAATTACCGAATTCATTTTGCGATGACTATAGCAGAAGTCGAGACGCGATTATATTGGATGCATAGATCGTAGGAAATAAATTTAATTAGAAATTACTATAAGATGTCCTTTAACCCCTTCGGTAAAAATAGTGTTAAATAGAAACGATTAAAAGGTGTCTTTTGACACCTTCGGTAGAAATAGTGTTAAATACATGGAGATCGTCCGCGATTATTATTATAATGCGTATTTTTATACAAAATAAACATTTTCTGCGTGTATCGCAGAGACAGGAGTCACTTTGAAAATGTTTTGTCCTCTAATAATTTTAATTAGTTGAAAATAGTACAGTCTTGACAATCTTGTCACAAATCTAAAAATCCGCAGTCCAAGTATTGATGTATAATAAATAATTACAGAAAATTTATTTCAGATTTTATTTCAAATAAAAATATTTCTATTTCAAATTTATTTCAATTCGCTTCAGACGAAAATCTAATTTTTGCGTTATGTTGCCTTCCTATTTTGAAATTATTAATATCACAATGTAATTATAACTGCGGCTTCTTAATTATTATTTAATTGAAGTTAAGGGATTATATATGTAGGAGCATTGTTTAACAGTAACATAAGTTACGTTGTTTCTAAATAAGTTTCGGAGGATGTCATATCAGCAATGGCCGTTCGCGGCCGTAGAATGGCGACCGGCGCCATTAAAAATTCAATTTCCTGTTTAATTTTGCGACAGCTTCCGAGCCGGCGCGAACTTAGCGCCGCGTGAAATATACGATGTAATTACGCGGGCCTATTGTTCGGTTTTGTAAAATATGTAAGACGGGGCCGAAGTAAATTTGGGATTTATAGTGCAATCTCAACTTCATAGCGGCTTCCCCGAAAGCATATATTACAATTAATATCCCGCCGCCGAAGGGAAAGAGTGCTCGTCGACATTTTCACATGTGAAATAAGAATGGAAGCTCGTGAAAGAAATTTCTTAAGTACCCGCAAGTATGGTGTATGACAAGACGATGGGTGGCGGGAGTAAGAAACCATGTAAGACGACGGCGAGGGGGTGGGAAAAGTGAACGCGACGTAAAACCTTGACGTAATTAAGCTGTTGCCCTTGAGCTTAAGCTTCTTAGAGGTTTTCCGAGGTAGTGAAATTCCCGCATACCCGTCAACGTCTAATGAGGGGATTGCGGATGAAGTTTCAGACCGGAGAGGGGCAATTAGGCAAACCGTATTTGCTCCATGTCTGAGACACGTGTACAATGCATTCGATCCTTCGCGTTCGATGTATAGCGATACATTATGTTATTGTTCTATTTAAATATGTATTCGTAAGACCAGCTGTAATACTTTTTGGTCAGTGTTCGGCATTATTCGAATAACTATTTTATCTAAATAATTATTCGACTGAATGAATACTTGATTAATTTGATTCGCGAATAAGCTTTTGCGAATAAGCTACTATCACCTTGTTCGTGAATAAATTATTCGTGAATAAACTATTCGAATTTGCGACTAAAATGTTACTTGTCTTTGCAAATCAAAATAGTTTATTTCTCAGTCATTATTCGTTGATCGCAATGGCGCACCTGTATCTAAAATAATAGCTAAGGAAATCATCGAAGTTCCGTTGAATAATTTCGAAAGACATTAGACATTTGTTCTCCGTTTTATAATAAATTATAGCCTACTTTCCCATCTAAAATGGTATAACTTTCTCTCGAACAATTTTTTAATGCGTTATAAATATGGGACAAATTGAAGGGTGAATTGCCATTCGCGAATAGCGAATAAAAATTGTATTCTTAGCGGAGTGAATGTAGTTATTCGTCGATCGAGTGAATTTTGCTCATCTCTGCTTCATGCAAAGTTATTTTATTTTCAATCTATAACATAGATTATCTAAATGATGAACAGACTTAAATTTGATCATTTAGAAGTGGATAAATATCAGTATTGGCACAATCTGTTTACATCCAAACAGTAACATAATTTAAAAACATAATCGTTTATACTTTTCTCAAGGCTAACAGTGAAAATCGAGGGTAACTTTGAAGCCAATTCGAAACCGCAATCGCTGCTTCATCGACGAACCGATCGAACAAGACCAGATTATAAAAGCGAACAGAAACCACCCCTGCTCCGCAACAACCCTAACAAAAACCACAAAACGTCGGACCGAAAAAACGACGATCCGAACTGGCACGAACCACGAACCAAGCCAAATAAACCGGAAGCATGAAATCGGCCGCGTGGCCGCGGAATCATCGCGCAAGTGAATTCATCAGCGACGACTGTCTCAATCCGGCGGACAAGAAAGATCACCGGGACAAAATTAAACGACCTCATCATCATTAGACCGGCCCCACCTAATTACCGGGACGTCTTAGACGCGGATGACATCGTCGGAAGGAAGACGCCTTCGCTGTCTAGCGTCTTCGTTGCTCTGCGAAAGTGTCTCGGACGTGTGCAGGATCGTCGGTGAGAGACTGTCGAGGAGGGAACGACGCGAGCGGGGCGGGGGGGAAGGAGGGAGGAGGGTGCGGGCGGTGGAGAGTTGGTCTACACGGGAAAGCTTATTAATGGGTCTCTGGTAGGGGTTGGCTGGCGGAAGGACTGGAAGAGAGGACCGGAGAGGAAGAACGACAGCGAGCTAGCTAGCTAGCTAGCTAGCTAGCGAGCAAGAGCGGGTCTTGAGAGCCGGATCGTGGCTGGATGGTTTGAGGCAGGAGGGTGGAAAAAAAGTAACAGACTCCCCGCAAATAACCCCCACGATGCCGGCGCGGGGGCGTGTCCCGGGTCGGTGGTGATGGCAGCCGTTGGCCAATGGGGTCGCTAGGGTTCGCGGCGCGTCGGTCTTCCTTCGTCGAACGAAAAAATATTGACCGCGGCGAGGGGGTATTCTGCGGTCCATTTGGGGGTTGCGGAGGTGAAACGCAACCCTGTAGTGATTGTTAGGAGAGTGGCGAAACGGTGCGGCGGGAAGGCAGCGAGGGGAGGGGGAGGGAGGGGGGTGGCTGCACACCGCCGGGTGAATACCCCCCTCGTCACGTACGGGATCATTAGCCGGATATCCTTAGTCCTGCCGGCCAACCCTCTCTGATAGCGGTGATCCTCGTGCCTGACATCATTATCCTGGGATGCTGTGCAGCGCCAGCGCGGTTCCGCCATCCTTCGGAGCTGCCCTCGTCATCGTTCCCGTTCCCGTTCCCGTTCGGCTCGTCGTGTTTTTCCCGTGTAGCACGCGGACCCTCTCGGGACGACCCGCTTCCCCGGCTGGTTCCCCGTCGGCCTTGGTGATGTCTGTGCGCGGGCTCCGACCTGGAGCCTTGTTTTGTGCCGGGGTGTTCGGTGATTGAGGATTCTTTCCAGTTTTTCGCGAACGATGGACGCTCTCGCGCCGCGAATCGCAGTGGCCTCCTCGTAATACTCCGTTTCGTATACCGATACACCGGATCCACCGCGACAAGGTTAGGACGACTATGGAGGCCGGCGAGCCGTCGGGACGCCTCACCGTCGAAGACCTGTCCGACTGCAGGAGCGAGTCCAGCCATTCCGAGTCGCAGCTCAGAGCCTTCCAGGACTACGAAAGGGTGAAGGAGCTGAATCTGTCGGTGGAGAAATCGAAGGAGGAGAACCCGGAGCCGAAGGACTTTCACCTGGGCCTGGACCCGGCGAGAATCCAGTTCGAGGACTTCGAGAACGCTGCTAGAAATCTGCCGATGACGCTGAACAAAGGCTACGTCGCCGGCGGCCTGAACGAGATGGCTTATCCTCTGGATAGATCGAACGAGAACGAAGAATCGTTGGACACCTCGAGCCTGTGCAGATCGAAGAACCCGTCGGCCAAGGATCTTCTGTTCAATCTACGGGAAGGCAGACAGAAGAACGCCCACGCTGCTCTGTCGCTCGATAGGTACGGCAAGGATTTGAACTTCGCGGTCTCCGAGAAGGACATCAAGGATTTCGGGCTTCTGAAGAATTACAGCCTGGACCGGATGAAGGAGTTCAATCTGTCGCTGGACAGGATGAGGGACAGTCACATCGGGAATTTCGCGCTGGAGAGACTCCGCGGCGGTGCCGGCTTGCTGGAGAATCCTCCTATGCTCGAGCACAACGAGTACAAGAATATCCAGGCTCAGCCGAGGAATCAGAATATAGAGGCCATCGCGTTGGAGCGAATGAGACGATCCCATTTGATGGGCACCGATCTGACCGCTCAGAATTTGTCCTCGCAGCTGTCCCATCCGCACTCCATCACGCAGATGCAGCACTCGCAGCAACAACAGCAACAACAGGCGAAATCGTTCACTATCGACGCTATCTTGGGCCTGAGGAACAATCCCAGGGAGAAACGGGGACAGCAGCAACAGTACAAGAAGCATCAAGGTATGTTTTGATTGTTTTTCGGTTTTTTCATTCCGTTGGATTCTTTGCACCGTGTGGATTCGAGACTTTATGGTCGTTAATGTTCGATTTAAATAGCGCGAATGCGCGAGGATAGCGACTAATTCTCTCGAGGATTATTGTAATAGATTGTTTAAATTGGAGACTGTTTATAGGAGACTGCATGAATCACTGTAAACTGGAGTTATTTACAAAAGTGAAAGTGTGGAAGGCTTATTCGAATTATGCCAATTCATATGAAATGCCAATTGATACGATCGAATGTTAACAGATCCACGAAATTTGGTTATCTCGCGTTAAAAATAAATTGTAAATCTTTGCTCGCGCTTTGACGTAGCGAGCAGTTTCGAATGCACGAAACTTTGCTGACTTCAGAGGAGCACCGGCGCAAAAACAAATGGCCGTTCAGTCTTGCACAATTTAGAGAAAATTTTTGTATCGATTTTATTTTCAAGTTTTGGCAAATTTCTGTTCGCGACAGAATTTTCTTGTGACCGCGAGCTCGAACGGTTCGGTAATTGTACCGCCAGCATTCAGACATCTTCGTACGGCGCAGCTGTTGTTGCTGTAAGTTGTAAGAAAGCATACAGTTAATTATATTTCGATGGTTTAATGTAACCTTCAAATTCTCCCCGGTTTGGTTTTCGATTCACGAGATTCGAAGTTTCTGTAGCCTGCAGTCAAAATAGATTGTTCGAGCTCATCACTGCATCGTTCAATCGAAAACCGAACGATTCGGGGTGACTTTAAATAATTGCATTTATTAGGCAGAGTTTAATGCAGAAAGTTTCGGTAATCAGGGGCCGGTTAATGAAAACGCGTTTCCAAAGCGTTTCTAAACTTTCGAATAGTCCGATTGAAATGTCAATATTGTTTCCCATTAACTTAATATATTCCTGTAACAGGTTTCTGTTTGTTTCAAAACAGCCATCGGACGCGTCGAATCTAAATTATCAAACGTGGCGGTTAAAGAACTAATTCGCATTTCTATAAATCAATTGAAAAAGAAACATGAAACTCTGAAACCGAAACTGAATGAAAAAGAAAACTCGTTTGCACATTAAAATAACGTAAAACAATACTTTTACTATACACTGAAAATATAATAGGTATTCTCATCTCAGGATAACACTCTTGACACTGCAAACAACACAGTTTCACACTACAATTTCAAAATAATAGTTTATGCGACATGTTCGCTAGCAGCATCAGTTTCGCTGTTTATTTGCATTGTAGTAATATTGATTAAACTTTCGCAACTATTAAGATTAATACATTTTTCTTTTATTAATAAATCAGGGTTGTACTTCTCGAGTACTATGTTGGGTGCTAGATGACCTTAAGATTAGATTCTAGAGTTTAGAACATTCTGGATAAAAGAAAGCATTAGGGTACAATGACAAAGAAATTACTATTTTTCTAAATATTTCATATACAATTTTCTACGTCGACGCGACGATGCTGTTTTATTTATCATTATCGTACTCGCCGTTAAAAAAGTGAAGTATTTTTAAAAAATGTTAATTTCTCACCAGTTCCTAGACTCGTCCTGTATAGATCAGAGATCAGGATCAACATTTTCTCAGAAAACAACGTCGCAAGGATGATAGTAGTAGAGTCTAGGCGTACAGTAATTTCTCCCTAATTCGCGCTCAGATTGCGCACAAGAAAAGTACAATTTGAAAAAAGGAGATACGATCATTCGAGCATTAATAATCGTATCCCCTCTTCCCAAATTGTTCATTTTTGCGCCCAATCTGATCGCGAATTGGGGAGAATTTGTTGTACCGTCGCGTCTTGCTAAAAATCGACTAGAGATTCGCACTACGAATTGCAGGCCAGGAAGGCGGCGCGAAGAACGGAAACTCGAGCTCCTGTTCAGGCGGCGGCGGGAAGCTGAAGAGGGTGCGGACGATCTTCACGGCGGAGCAGCTGGAGCGGCTGGAGGGTGAATTCGCGCGGCAACAGTACATGGTCGGCCCTGAAAGACTGTACCTGGCACACGCGCTCAGGCTGACCGAGGCCCAGGTGAAGGTCTGGTTCCAGAACCGTCGGATCAAGTGGCGGAAACACCATCACGAGCAGCAGAGTCAACGGGTGCACGAGTTCCAGCGCACGCTGAACTCGTCGTTGGAGCACGAGGACAGCAACGAGACCGACAAATGGTGAAAGGAGCCGGTGCTTCCCGACCAAGAACCGTCGCTTCGTTTCCTCGCCCCTTCCTTGGTGTCGCCGCTGCTGCCGTTCTTCGATCCCAGAAATGAGCGACCGCGGGTTAGGCTAACTCTCCGAGGACGATTCTCTCGGGGGACAAGAAGACGCTTCGGAAGTCCAGACAGTTCTCGTTTTATTTTCTCGCGAGTGGGTTCCGGTGATCTCGCTTTCCGGTTGATCCTGAGGAGACAGACTGCTTCGTAGACCTCGGGAAAGGGACGCGATTGAGGATCTTCCGGAGCAGCTGATCTTCCGGTTGCCGCCGGTACAGTTGACGCGAAAGAGAACTCGAGTACTGATGACCGAAGTTTCCAGTTGTGCCAGTTGATTATAGACTTACCGAGGGACACTTATGAAAGAAAATTGGTGCCCTCAGTGCTACGTTGATTCTTGAAAGAAGTAATGTACCGGTCGGAGGGTGCGTGACAGAGACACCGCGTGGATATGTAAATTCTTGTCGAGAAGGTGCGACGGTGGACAATTTTCGAACGTTCAACGAAGAAAATCGCGATGATGAAGTCGGCCGAAGGTCATAAGCAGAACAACATGTCCCAGTCGTTCTTCAACTCTAGGAATCTGCCGGATTCGTGCAGGGGCTACCAGAATAAGAAGGTGCAGTATTCTTCGACTAGCAGGAGCGGAAGGTAGGCACCGATTAAATGGCACAAGCTACTGCCTTCTCAATTTCTAAATACCTAACTCGTTAAACGTTTTCGCACGTGGGCGAAAGACTCTTGCGATTTAATACAAGGTGCCCTAAAAACGTCTCGCAATCTGTAAGTGGGAGATTCCCGAGGTCGTTTGAAGTAACTTTTTCCTTAGCGAAAATGCAATACGAGGCTTCGTTTACGAGTTATTGGCGAAAAACAGTGACCAATGGGAGGCGAGATCAGCTGACGCGAGGCGGCGCAAGGCGGCCGAGCCAATGAGCGGAACTGGGCACCGTGCGCTGGTTGGCTCGGCCGCGTTGCGTCAGCTCGTCTCTCATTGGTCACTGTTTTTCATTAATAACTCGCAAACGAAGCCGCGGATTGCATTTTCGCAAAGGAAAAAGTTACTTCAAATGGCCTCAGGAAGCTCCCACTTCTGGATTTCGAGACATTTCTGGGACACCCTGCATTTATACAATATTTATTATATAATGTTTATTTGTTGAAGTTGATACCGGCATAGCGTTTAACGTGTTAGAACATAGAACAGCCAATAGACAGTTGCGAAAATATTCTCAAGGACTCCGGAGGCTGTGACGAGCTGCTATTCCTCTTCTACGTCTTACAAGCCAGGGTACGTCTGCTCGAAACCGCTACACACTAAATGCGTACGACCTCACAGTAGCGACGCAGCGCACGATGGTCATCCGACTCACACGAAACTCGACAAAGGCAAGCATTATCCTTCCAACGTGCCTAACAAGGGGAAAATTCGCTACGAGGACGAGCTGATCAACAACGAGAAATTCAAATACGTCGACGACGAGCTGGAGAACATGACGGAGGATAACGTGGAGTATGCGGATGAGGAAGGTACTAATTGCGCGCTGAAAATTCGGTCAACGTCTTGGTGGTCTTAGGAGAATTATTATAAATATAATATTAGGGAAAGCTTCGGCAGAATAGAACGTCTGCATTATGCATTATTGTTGGCTTAACATTGATACGTGAAGACCTGAAAATCGACCACAAAAATTCCTAAAAAATCAGAATAATTTCATCAACGCTAAACCTGTCGAGCCCCGAAAGTAATTAACATGTGTCAGTACGAAAGTAAGCACTGTATTTATTTAGACTTGTCGCTATTTTTATTATAACGTTTGGTTGGATTAACGAATTCGTTCAGTCATTTTCTATGAAAAAATTTCTATAACTTCAACCACTTTGAAACGAAAAATGAGAAACCGGTCGTTTCGACCGACTCGATGGATTTAGCGTTAATGAAACTGAGATTGTAAAGTTTATCATAGCGGATCAAAATTTATCACAGCGAATGCTGTTTGAATGCTTTCACGTTCTAAATGTACGCGTGGAGACTGGTAAACAAATTATTGCCAATTATTGTCACTGTTAATGGGCAAACTTACATGGCAATTAATTAAAAAAAAAAATTAACTCAAGCAGAAAATTGAGATTGACAGATGACGTTAAAAACTCGGCGGTGATGCTCTGTAAAATTGGGACGGGTCGGGACGTAAATGGGTCGGTTAATTCAAGTTAATTCGACAGAGGATGATCGCGCGGACACGGATGAATTCCTAAACAAGGAGTACGGCGAGCACGAGGCGGACGACGAGATAGAGGAATCTGACTCATCTCCGCAGCCCCATCGAGCACAGAGAGCCTGTAAGAAAGAGGCGGAGCTGAGGCAACTACGATGGAAAACCGTCGGTCAGCAGGAGGATCCACGTAGGCTACGCTGTCCGCAGCGTGTCCTGGCTGTGGGCCAAGGTCATTCGCCAACCCCAAGGTCCCTACAATATTTTTTATAGCTGTTTAAACTATCTATTCGACGACTGGAACACTTGAATGTTGCATAGTGCACTTACGATGGGCACACTTGTATTAAATAGAACCCAGAAACTGGATTAACAATCATTTTGTGACGTTTTTGCTTACGAGGAAATGACAGGTTAAATGTCTGATAATAAATATAAATATATCACATGATTTCTACTCTCCATAAAAATCGTGAGATTAGTCTATAAAGTTCGAAGTTTATTCGTAACTTGCGCATTCGCTGAAGTTTATGCAGATGTTTAATTAAATAATTTAGTATAGAGAGTGCCTATGTGTGAAATGTATTTTTCATTTGTGTAAAGGTATTGGAAGGATTGCAATTTTTTTAAGATTAATTCAGTGCGATATATGTGCGAGGTGATTCAAGTACAATAGGCTTGATGATGGTTAATTAGAGGCACCGTCCGGTAATTAGATACTACCAGCACGAGCACGAGGTTCCCGAGCCCTTATCAGAAGAAGACTTCGTCCCAACGTCAATGAAAAGTTTAATCAGAAGATCGATGGACCACCATCATTGGTCACCGTCGAGAGGTGACCCGATTCGATACGACACGGCGTCGTTGCCTGTCCAGCCGAGTCGCCGAGCCCGCACCAAACCGGACATGGACCAGCTTTTGGAGGCGGAACTCGGCAAAACGCGACAGTGCCATCGTTGCGGTATCCTGTCGAGCAAAAAGCCCGTGTCGCCTTTGAGAAACAGCTGCAGATTCAATAATTGCACGGGATTTCCTACCAAGGGACCAATCGGTACTTCCGCCTCGATTATTCTGCCAATTTAACTGGTCTCCCACACTGAAATCCTTTAAATCCAAGACTTCGCTGCGTTGTCATACCATGATATCACTTATTATCTGATCTACGATTCTATGATCTCAAAATTTGTGCAATTTATCTGCTGTATATTTCTAGAATTTTGTAATTAATCTTCACTTCTATTTGCTTTTGTTCAAAATTTTGTAACTTCCCTGCTATATAATTCTGTAGTGTCACAATTCTCTTGTCACGTTTATTCAAAATTTCACAGCTTTTCTACATTCGAATACTACAGTCCAAGAACTTGCAACTATTCTACATTAAAGTCGTGTAACCACGGATTTTCAGATTTCTGCATTGAAAGTGTAGAATCATAGGGTTTCACAAGTTCTTTACATTAACAGTGTGCAATTTTAAAATCTTTTTTCTACATTAGAAACGTGTAATTTCAGAGTACGTTTCTGTTTTGCAATTGTATAATTTCAATGTTTCATTACTAGTCTGCAATGAAATCCTGTGCCCTCAAAGTTTCCTAATTTACCCGCTTACCTAAAATTCTATAATTTAATACTTCTTCACCTCTGTTCAATATTTTATATCCTTCCTACTCTACAAGTCTGCAGTCACAAAATTTCAGTAATATGACATAATAATGCAATTCAATGCAAAGTATAATGCAATGTTAACAATAATAATTCTATTACTAATTCACACTCAAATCCTATGTCCTCAAAATTTCCTTATTCACATTAATTACGATTCCATAATTTATTACGTCCACATATCACAGAAACAGCCTCGCTTTTATTATGAAAATTATTAAAGACGATGAAGTAGTATTAACAAACACTGTCGTGGAAAAAATTGTAGTGCAAGGGGTTAATTAAACTACTTCTTCGCGACATTCACCGCGTTAAAATTGACCGACTTTCACCCAGATCTTCTCCAAATTTTCAATAGAATCGTATAAATCGTAATAAAATCATACTGGAAGCAGAAACAGCCTCGCTTTTATTATGAAAATTGTTAAAGACGATGAAGTAGTATTAACAAACACTGTCGTGGAAAAAATTGTAGTGCAAGGGGTTAATTAAACTACTTCTTCACCGCGTTAAAATTGACCGATTTTGACCCCGATCTTCTCCGAATCTTCAATAGAATCGTATAAATCGTAATAAAATCATACTGGAAGCAGAAACAGCCTCGCTTTTATTATGAAAATTGTTAAAGACGATGAAGTAGTATTAACAAACACTGTCGTGGAAAAAATTGTAGTGCAAGGGGTTAATTAAACTACTTCTTCACGACATTCACCGCGTTAAAATTGACCGACTTTCACCCAGATCTTCTCCAAATTTTCAATAGAATCGTATAAATCGTAATAAAATCATACTGGAAGCAGAAACAGCCTCGCTTTTATTATGAAAATTGTTAAAGACGATGAAGTAGTATTAACAAACATTGTCGTGGAAAAAATTGTAGTGCAAGGGGTTAATTAAACTACTTCTTCGCGACATTCACCGCGTTAAAATTGACCGACTTTCACCCAGATCTTCTCCAAATTTTCAATAGAATCGTATAAATCGTAATAAAATCATACTGGAAGCAGAAACAGCCTCGCTTTTATTATGAAAATTGTTAAAGACGATGAAGTAGTATTAACAAACATTGTCGTGGAAAAAATTGTAGTGCAAGAACCCCTTGCACTGCAATTAAACTACTTCTTCACCGCGTTAAAATTGACCGATTTTGACCCCGATCTTCTCCGAATCTTCAATAGAATCGTATAAATCGTAATAAAATCATACTGGAAGCAGAAACAGCCTCGCTTTTATTATGAAAATTGTTAAAGACGATGAAGTAGTATTAACAAACATTGTCGTGGAAAAAATTGTAGTGCAAGAACCCCTTGCACTGCAATTAAACTACTTCTTCACCGCGTTAAAATTGACCGATTTTGACCCCGATCTTCTCCGAATCTTCAATAGAATCGTATAAATCGTAATAAAATCATACTGGAAGCAGAAACAGCCTCGCTTTTATTATGAAAATGATTAAAGACGATGAAGTAGTATTAACAAACATTGCCGTGGAAAAAATTGTAGTGCAAGAACCCCTTGCACTGCAATTAAACTACTTCTTCACCGCGTTAAAATTGACCGACTTTGATCCCGATCTTCTCCGAATCTTCAAGGTGAGAATCAGGAGAGGTACGATCAGCTGTTCTGCGGCCACTGCGTCCTGAGGCACAACCCTGAACTCGCGAACGGCGTCGGTCCACATCCGCTGCACCCAACGAAGCAACGAAAGCCCCGCGACGTGAAGTCCCCGACGAAGTACCAGATGCCGGATCAAGATCACATCGAGCAGCTGGCGAACGATTATTCGCGGACCTTGTCGAAGCTGCATCGAAAGTCCGCGGACCACGAGAGGGCGAAACGTTCGCTGCACACTTACGGCCTGCCGCACCTGTTGTCCCGATACGAGGATTAATCAGCCCCGATCGAAGCAAGAACCCCCGAGAGAGAGAGAGACGAGTGAAGCCACCCCGAAAAGGAAAAGGAAACGAAGAGACTGTGATGTGGAGGGACTAGAAAATGCGACATTTCTGGGATCGACGACGATCCTCAAAAAAAAAAAAAATCGTTTCTGAACTCGTACAAGTATTTTCGTACGCGTGTTTCGTT